GGAAAGAGAAAATAATAGTTTCATGGTAATATGACTTTAACCCCTCTCTTACATTTATTAATTTATTTTTTAACAAATATGAGGGCTTGTGACAGGCACTAGAGTAAGCATTTAATAACACCGTCTTGTTTTCAATGTATTTATGTGAATAATGTTCTAATTTTCTATTTGTGTCAAGTACTTTTGGCTTTTCATTTGGGAAAGCATGTATGGTATAATAAAACACATTTTTGGTCTTGGTCCCTGGTTCTTGGCACAGAGTTCCTAAGACGTTTGGAATTTCCTGAGTGATAGGAGGGGCTTTTCTTATTCCTAAGGAATCCTTGGACCTTACCTGAGTTTACGCTAATGACATGACTCTTGGGAGTTCCCCTAGATAACCTCAGGACTGAGGCTGATGCCAGAGAAACCAACCACGGGATTGGAGAGTGGGAATTATCAGCCCCACTCCCCTCACCTCTTCCACTCCCAACTTCCAAGAAAGAGAGGAGGGCTAGAGATTGAGCTCAATGACCAATGGCCAATGATTTAATCAATCATGACTATGTAATGAAACTATGTGGAAAACTCTGGACAACGAGATTCAAGGAGCTTCTCAGAAGGTGAACATATCAGTGTGCTGGGTGGCACACCCGGAGAAGAAATAGAATCACTGTGCCCAGCCCCACCCCAGTACCTCGCCCTGGTATATCTCTTCCCTTTGGCTGTTCCTGCCTTGCATCCTTTCTAATAAAGAGTAATCATAAACACTGCTCTTTGTAGAGCTCTGTGCGTTGTTCTAGGGAATTGCGGTAAAAGCCATGACGGACTTGCTGTTCAAAGACTGCTTAAGGGAAAAATGTCAAGGTTCCGCAGGGCATGTGAATGCGATGTTTTAAAAGGGGGTAGTAGAGACGAATAATTAACCATTTAGCCTCAAGTCTGTTTGCTCCCTAAACTTTCCTAACAACTTTTGGGTGTGTCAATTACCATATATTATGAAATACCCACATGGGATTTGACATTTATAACTGTAAAAGGTAAGTCTACAAATAGTGTGTGTACACCAGCAGGTGTGCACAGTGCTGTAACAAATGTGCAGTAAGCTTTGGTTGACATTTTCACTCTCAGCTTAATGGTTTTCTTAGCTAATTGCTTTCATTAGGAACTTGAGAAGCATCAAAGGAGGATTTAAAATTGGGTTTGCTTCAATACAGGGAAAACACATGCAAAATTCATTCTTTGTTTTTCCAGGGTCAAAGCTTCCTCATAGATCTGAGAACAATAGCCATTAGTTAATTAACATATGAAAACAGTATTTCTCAAGGTGTTATAAGCAGACCAGGAAATCAAAATCCCCTGGGTTTATTAAAACGCAGAGCCCCATTGAAGGAAGCTTTATTTTTTTAACAGCTCTCAAGGTGATTCTTAAAAGTACTCCAGTTTGACAACTTTTGCAACTAGTTTAAAAACAGAAGGCTCACACCAGCTCTAGAAGGATCACTCACTTATTACTTACTAGCTTGTGTGGCTTTGAGAAAGTCACCTAACCTCTCTGGGCCTTAATGTCCTCAATACAGTTTGCTGTACTATGTCACTGAAGTCATCTTGGCTTGCCCTGCTCAAGGCTAAATTCCAAATTTAAACCAAACCAAAGATCATAAGAAGCTTCCATCCCAGGGAGCAGGGTTTAGAGTCTCACCACATAGAGCTGTTTCCAGATGCTGCCCCATTCCCAAAGTGTCGTTGTCACTTCTTGTGCCAGAGGAATTTCTGCAGGAATGATGTTCTCAATATTTCTATTTAAGGTGAAAGAGAAAATGGTGTGAAATTAAGACCCAGGTGCTAACAGGACAAAATGCTGGCAAATTTCCATTAAGCTGCAGCTGTTGAGAGGGGCCTTGCTGTCAGGAGACTAAACTGCCTCCAATAGCCACACCAATTACATTATGCAAATGCAAGGAACTTCCTTTTTAATGTCCTCCTTCACTGGGGTGGACATTTCAAGCTCATTATTCAGGATTAATCTAATTAGTACAGTTCAAAGGTAGTTGCCAGTGAAAAGTTTGATTCTCCTAACTTACTAATACCCCTCCACTCCCCGTAGAAGCAGAACTAAACACAAATCGGTATGGATTAGATCTCCCATCCAGTGAGGGAAAGGAGACACACATGGGCACGAAGGTGGATCAGCTAAGCATCCTCCACATCTGCCAAGTCATGTTTTCAGAGTAGACAGGACAGAGACATCTCTAAGCCATTGGAGGGTTAAGTCTGGTTAAGAGTGGCAAATACCTTCTTTTCTCAATTGTCACTTCCTTGATGTGGATGAAGGATTTAGGAAAAATACCCTGAAAGAAATAAGATAATATAAGATAACATAGCATAACATATGTAACATTACATAAAATACAATATAGAATGACATGTTCCTACAGAGAGAACTCACCCCAGGTCTTCCCAAAGCCACTTACTGGTAAGACTCTTAAATGTTAAGGGAATAATCCCAGAGACAGTGGAGTTGGGGGAGGGAGGGGCATCTAAATTCACCCTTTTAGGTCTATTATTTTCACCTCCAGTTCTCCATCAGTTGTTCTAGATCCCACAAAGCCCTAGATTCCAAAGGATGTTCCAACCCCACTGTGGACACTCATCTTATCAGATGAGCAAGACAGGAGTACTCGAAAGACTCACTCTAAGTGAGAAAATGCCCTCTGCCTCCCCTTCTTCTGCCCAATTCCGGGTAAGCAGTCACCCTTCACAGTTGTGAACAGCTGGGAAGGTCCGGTCCTGAAGCTGTCTGTAGGCTAGTTTGATTTGAGACCTTTTTCTCCCTAGATTTGTTTTATTGTTCTGTAGAGAGCTAAGTAGAATCATGCCTTCCAACACATCCAATCAGGGAGGAAGAAGCATCTATTATTTCCTTTCTCCATAAGCTTGGCTCAGTTAACAAGAAAAGTTTATAGATTACTTGGAAATTCCTTCATAAATTCGACCAATCTGCACACTGGGAACATCCAGCCACTGAGCTAGACACCATGAGAAATGAGGAGGCGAGCAAAGCAGGTGCCTGCTCTCACGGAGACCACAGTGTCATTTGGGGTTGGAACAAGTGACCTCCCCGAGGGCAGAGACTGGCCCTGTCCTTTCTCTGTCATGTTGGATAGTAAGTGAGGAAATGATGAATGCCCCAAACAACTCTAAAGGAAAGCAAGAGAAGATAAATTCTGAATTGAAAATGCACAATTCCACAGGGACTCGAGGAAGGGAGAAATCAGATATGACTGGCAGTCAGGAAAAGTTTCGGGGAGAAGAGAGCTCAGCAGGTTGGCCTTAAGGAATAAGTGAAAGGGGAAGGGAGTGGAGGCCCAGAAAGAGCGAAGGTGTAGAGGGAGGGCGGCAGAGGACACAAGGAAGAAGTAGAACCGGTCTGCTGAGGAGCAACAGTGGAAGATAATTGCCCAGAGAGGTGGCAGGGCCCTGAAAAGATACCTAGTATTGCCCCAGATAAAAAAATAAGCCTTACCTGTAACATTTTGTGCTTTATCAGGTATCCCCTATACCAGTCTGCAAAGACAAAACAAAGGAACGGGTCTCTCATCTATTCTTACAAATCTGTTGCTGATTTTTGTTGTTGTTGTTGTTTCATTTGTTTGTTTGTTTTTAACTAGCAAAGAGACTTCTGCAAACTGCTTTAGACCTTAGGTATAGATCGAAGTCTGGAAGCCCGTGGCTTCAACAATCTGTTGAATTGGTTGCCAATATCTCCAAAAAGCATCTAGAAATACAGGAATTTCACATAAAAATGAAAATCTCCTCTTTTTGATAAGAGGTCCAGTGGTGGTGGCCAGTGCTCCCCCATGGCCACAGTTGGTTGGTGGCGAGGAGCAGCTGGTCCCAGCAGACAGAGCAGGTGCCTCCAACTCGCCAGCCTCTACCCAGCTCTTCTCCTGTTTCCATCACCTGCCTGGGTCCTGTCTTCCTGTGCCTGTTTTCAACCTCTGTCTTAAGGACATACAAGGGCTGAGGGAGTTTGGCAAACATCCTAAAATAATATTCCAGTTCTAACAGCAACAAATGATGTCTAAAATGTGATTTGCAAAAGTTAGTCATTACAAAACAGACAAGTTCAAGGATAGGTAAAATGACAGGAATCTTAAAAGATTCTTTTCTGCAGAAATATTAAAAATGATTCAATTAACAGAAATCTAAATTATGCACAGTCCTTGGACAAAATGAGCCTCAGTGTAGCAAGTATTGATGACTATAATGAGCCTACTGGCCTTTGAAATGATTCAAGCACAGCCTAGTAGTGGCATTTGTCATCTCTGTAAATAAAAAGTGTCTGTTGTTAGCCTCATTAGCAAACCCTCATTACAGAGCTGACAGATTGTAGACAAAATATGTTCTCAACAGACATACGTGGAAGCCCCAAAACAAACAACTTAAAATGCAAAGTCATCCCTCACAGTCATGAGATAGCTTGAGGGTCAGGTCCTAAAGAAAGTTCTAAAGCAACAGGGCCCCAGAGTGGCTCTTATTTTGAACAGAAAGAGAGAAGGAGAAAAGAATGAGGGAAAAGAGAAAAGAAAGGAATAGAGGTTGGAGAGAAAGATTCTCAAGCAGTCTTCGTATATGAAGACTTTTAATCTTCACAACAATCGCATGAGATAGGAACTGTAATCACTCCATTTTACAGAAGAGTGGCCTACCTGAGGCACAGAGAAATTAAGTAACTTAACTAGGTTCACACGGCTAGTGACAGTGTCAGGATTTGAATGTGAGCAGCCATCATACTGTGCTTTCTGTTTCATGGAGGAAGGAGCATGATGGTTGTCTAATATTTTCATCTTTCCAACATCTGAATGCCCAAAACTACATCCCCACTAAGCTACTTTCAAGCTGAATACTTCCAGTGACAGAAAACTTAATACTTCATAAAGCATGACATTCTATTTTCACACTCTTCTAATAATTTGTTCATAATTATCAGTAGTAATTAACCATTAAAAATAGTGCTTATCCTTTCTGCGCGTTTGCTGTGTGCCAGAAGCTCCGGTAAAGTTTTTGTTTTGTTTTTTCAAATTATAAGTTAATCTTCACAACAATCCTATCAAGTAGGTACTATTACTGCCTCAATTCTGCAAATGAAAATATAGTCACAGAGAGATTAAGCGACTTTCTCATGGTCACACAGCTAGTAGGTGATACAACTAAGATTAAACCCAAGCATGTGACTCCAGAGATGACACCCAATAGCACTGCATTATAACAAGCTCCTTTATTTGCCGTTATTCCCCATCCCATCAACCAGATATATGAACATCTTTGTAATATTAGCTACATTTATTAATCGCTTAATGCATACAAAGCTGTATGCTAAGTATTTTACATGTATTTCCTCATTTAGTCCTCATAGCAATACTGTGAGGTATTATCATTCCCACTCTATAGGTGAGAAATTAAGATTCAAGTCAATTGATGTACTGGGCCAAATCACATAGCCAGAGTTCAAGGGCACATCTGTGTGGCTTCAAAGCCAGCCCTCAAAACTGTTCCACCACATTGTCTCCTTTGAGATGAACGCAAATACAGATAACATTCTCTTAGGGCTCAAATACAGGGTCTCTTGGTTGAAATGAGCTGAATCCACTTGATGGCCAAGGCCACCAAAATCCACCATAAAGTAGGAATACAAAGAACCAACAGTCCCTACCCAAAGCTCATGCCCACATCTGCATCTTTGTCATAGGAGCTCCATCAGGGTCCCTTGACATCCTGATTAGTCCAGTGACTTTGCCTGCTCTGACACTTGAGACTCAGTTACCTGTGCATAGCTTGTAGGTTTCCTGATTCTCAGAACTTCGTCTCACTCATGAACAAGGAATCTGCTGACTCTTATGCCCAGCCTACACATACTGGCTCCCAGATTTGAGTTCAACCAATACTGATCGTGCACCTACTATGTACATGGCACTGGGCTAGGTGTTTTCAGAAATAAATCCCAGTGATCCTTAAAGTGAAAGGCTTCCAATCATCCCCCTTTGCTCGATGATGATAATGCATCGACTGCTTTGGGGCTGTCCTCAGGACTTTTGCAGACATCCCCATCCCTACTGGGTCACTGAACTCTGTGACCTCCTGAGGTCAGTTGCCTAATCTGGTCAGCTGTTGGCTATCCAGCTGTACTCTAACACTTGATCAGGCAGATAACAATAGTCAGCACATATAGCAAAATCCATGTAACACAGTGTAACGCAGCACTTACCCCAACCCAGGACTCGCCCCGGGGCTCAACACCCTTTCAAGTTCAATAATAGCAAGGGCTTTTTGTGCTAATTCTATCCATGACATAAGCATTAAAAAAAAAAAAAAAATAGAAAACTCACAAAGTTCATCCTGGGGGAAGATGAAAAAAGGAAAAATTTTTTACCATTCTTCTGGACAATTATGAAGTGCCAAAATACTCAAATTGTCCTCCCTTCCCACATCTCAAATACCAAAATGAAATGCACTTAAATTCTCTCAACACCTGGGCGTTGCCTGTGGTCGGGAGAGGGAGTGGAGATTAAAAATATCTCAGAACTGCAAAAAGAATTCACAACCTAGAATCCTCTCTCTGTCACCTCTCAGCAGCATGATCTTTGTCACTTAAGCCTCAGTATTTTCATCTGTAAAATGAGGGAAAAAACACCTACCCCACAGGGTTGTTACAAAAACTATTTTTCAAACAGGATTATGAAGGTAAACGTATCTGGTAAAGGGACAAAACCCTGGAGGGGACGAAAACATTGCAATTTCAGGATGTGTTACCTACAGCATGGACAAAAAGACAAGAATAGATTAAGGGAGGGTAAAACAGGGAGTTTCAACTACATCTAATTTTTGTTTCTTAAAAAAATGTCTGACATAAAATATCTTAACATAAAATGTTCAGATTTGTTTATCTGAAAAGTGAGTGCCTGGGTGTATTTTACTGTCCTATATGGTTAAAATATCTAATAATATTAGGATAAAACAGAAGCTAATACCTACCAGTTGTTAAGAGTATGAGTTCTGGAATCAAAGCCTGAATTTGAATAAAAATCTACACCTTATTGTCTGTGCGATCTTAGACAAGTTACTACATTTCTCTGAGCCTCAGTTTCCTTATCTATGAAATGGGAATAATAATAGTGCCTGTCTCATGAAGTTTCAATTAGATAAGGAATTCAGAGTTTGCCCAGTGCCTGGCATATAAATGTTCAAAAGTTAGTAAATGTTATTCTCTCTTTTAAAAATCTATATATCATCATCATCACAATCATCAACCAAAGAAAGTTGGCAGTATTTTCTATTTTATTCAAGAATCTACAGATTTTGAATTTTATTTATTTATTTATTTTTTAGTGAAGTCATTTCAGCATATATCCATAACAACAAAGTAAATGAGACATGCTTCGAATTCAACATAATGGAAGTGTACTGATGTTTTAGCCTCACTCTCATTCAGAAGAAAACTTCACTTACAAACTCTCCATAAGGGAACAGCTTTACTTAAGAAAATGGAAGCTCTTTCACACAAACCTAAGTTCTAGGGTGTCTAAGGCTTAGCAACTGCTGTCCTCCTGAACTGTTTGATTTCTTATCACAATAAAATAGCATATTCATAATATAAAGCTAATCAAAATGTTTGAGCTCTAGTGAAAGTAAATTCATTCACGTTTAAGATTCCAGGTTGGGTTTCTGTTTTCTGCATTCACCTGACTGAGTTAATTTAGTACATGTGCAAAGCAGGGCTAGTCTCACACACTCCAAGCAAGGGGAGGGCCACCTCAGGGTTCCCTGGGCCATACTGTAAAGGTACCTACCTTCCAGTTTTAATGTAGCTCTGTACAACGTGGGGGAGGTAAGGAATTAACCAACAAAGAGCACCTAGGAGCCAGCCATGGTGTAGACAGCTTCTCTACTTTCTCTCACTTTATCCTCATAAGAAGCCCAGGAGCAAGGTGATAACCCATTTCACAGGTGAGAATATTGAAGCCTACCTACCCAAGATCACCCAGATAGCGAGTAGTAAAACAAAGAATAACTTCCCGATTCAGAAGCCCATGTTTCCTCCCCTTTTTTTCTGGAGGGAGGGGAGATTTAAAAACTATTGAATACAAAGAATAAAATTAAAATAACAATTACTCACATTCTTACCAACTAGAATTAATCATTGCACATTCAATGGAAATATGTGCTTCAAATCATTAAGACTATATTCTTTTTGTCTAAAATTGACATGTGCTGTTATGAAGAATTTAAACAAAGCAGACAAGTACAAATATAAAAGCTAAAAGAATCATCCTGAATCTCATTATCTAGAAAAAGAAAAACACGGTTAACAACATTCTGGCCAACTTTCATTTATACTTATACACAAGAAATGACAGGATAAATAGATAAAATACAATTTTAAATATGCTCTCATAAAAATCAGCATACAGTAAAGACACTACGTAAATACAAATCCCAAACTTAATCCTACTTGTATTTAACAGAAAATTAAGAGAAATTGAAGGAAATGTTGAAACTTCAATTAAATGTTTCTTCTTCACAAAAAAGGTTTCCTAAAAACTCCTCTAAAATAAAAATAGTTATGAAAAGCATTAAAAGTTTTTAAAATTACATGTTTCCTGACAATAACATTCTTTTTGGTAGCCATACATGTTATGACTTTTAATACTAACTTTTATAAATTGATTCATTTGGACCCGGTGCTCACCACTATGTCCTTTTATCACTGCTTTTCAATTCCCATATTTAAAATGTTTGATTCACCTCTCAGGTGGCTAGATTTCATTTTCCAAGTAGTGTGGACAAAAAAAGGAATTCTATGGAAAGTAGCCTCACAGAGTGATCTGATCATAAATAGCTAATTGCCCCCAGGCATATGACTTTTTAGTCAAAGGTTTATCTTTGCCTTAAGCAAGCCCTGCCTATTAATTCTACCATCTAGGAAAACACATCTTTGAAATAAGCTGTAACCACCTCAAGAAAGCACAAAATTTTGTTAACTATCCTGTAATCCAACCCCCCACCTTGCTTTTCCCACCTCCATATAATCTACCTTAGTTCCCTTTTAATTTCAAATGTATAAAAGAAGCTGTAAAATTGTTAGACCTAGAACATTTGAGATCTTGCTCCCTGGCATATGTTGTCATTTTGGCTCAAATAAACTTTTATCAAAATTCTCTACAGATTTGGATGTTTCTTACACAGACAGCAGATTTCTACAAGAGAGTTTCATGGGCACACCCAAGTTCATTCTACTATACTATTTTGACTAATTTTTGACTAACATTGTGGTTTTCACTTTTTTTAATTTGCAGAGGAACTACTTTTTGAAAATTTATTTATTTTAATTAGTTTCAAATATACATTACATTGATTAGACATTTATATAGTTTATAAAATGATTCCCTAATTGTTCCTTCTCTCCTCTGGTTTTCCACCCAGCCAGTGTATTAATGTTAGCCGCATTCCTTCTGCCATGCTCCCCATCCTCGTCCGTGACCATCCATCAGCTACTAATTTATACTTCTTTAACCCCTCACACCATTCTCCCAGCTCCCCAAACCCCCGTCCCTTGCAGAGGAACCATTTTTAATCAGAATCATAGGCAGAATGCAAAGCAGACAACAGGCCTGATCTCAGACTCCTTAGCTGTCCAAGGCCCTCAGGGAAACCTTAGGATTCTATAAATTCCTGTTTGAAAACTGTATGGGTATGTATACAAGTATGAGTCCTAATAATTTGCATACCAATTCCTCAGATATCATTCTAATAGAATTCTGAACATTGCATTTTCAAATTATTCATGTATTGGCAATAATTTACTGAATAAATATGTCCAGCTCTTTCTAGAAAGGTATTATGGCTGCTTATTATAAAGATACATTAAAATAAGACTAATAAAATAGAATTAAAAAGGGAAAACCAGTACCAAAGAGGTTAGAAGCAAGGACATTAATTCTAAAGGCAAATAAAGGTGGCTGGTATCAGCCGCTGCGGCCTTTGTGAAGGTGGGGCCCCAGGCCAGGCTGAAGGAATGGAAGGCTCTGACCACATGCCCCCTGGGTAGTCGGTTTACTGCCCTAAGCTCATTTTCCAGGGGAACTGCATGAAAAGGAGAAGAAAATACTTGTCTGAATTTCAAAATGTAAGACACAGAACCTAATTGCTGAGGCTTTTTCACTGTCCTGGTGGGCACGGGGTGGGAAAGAGGGTTTTTTTAGAGTGTGGGATTGTGGCATGGGGTGGAGAGAATGGCCACCGGCTCACTGTGTGACCTTAGGCGAGTCATTTCTCTCCCTGAGCCTTGGTTACCCACGGGCAAACGTGAAGTCCCCTGCCAGTTTATCAGGAGTAGCACTTAATAGCACATAAGAGACACTGAGAGTTGTCTTGCTGTTTTTATTTTCATTCTTTGTCCTTGGTAGATACCCAGAGTTTGCTTATCTGTTACTGGGCAGAACTAGATTTGTAAAAGATAAGGTTGCACTGTGGAAAGGGGGCAGGGCATTTGGAATCACAGTTCTGAGTCTTCAGGAAAGCTTTCCCCCTCATCTCTCCCTCTCCCGGTTTTACTCTCTGTATAAAAGGTTTTAACAGGCCAGACTAGGATCTTTAAAGGCCTGAACACAGAAAAATACATGGTACCCCCTCATATATCACCCAAAATAACAAAAATATTAAAGCATAAAATGAATGTAAGGAAAGTGAACAAAGTTCTCATTTCCTCCATGATGACTCCTTTAAAGGTGTTTTGAAATATCAAAAGTTAAATTCTTTCCCCCCCATAAAAAAAAAAAAAAGTTTTTTGTTTGTTTGCTTTTCGTGTGTCTGTGTGTACATGCGCCTGTGCCTGTGGGTGTACGTGGACCCTGCAACAATTTGCAAAGCTGCCTGGGAAGCTGCATATAGCTAATCCAGCCTGGGGATATCATCTGCCCCTTGGTTTGCTGTGAGGAGTAACTACACTAACATGTCATAAAGAATTTAGCACAGTGTCCCCTCTACCCCATGTGTAAGAACGCAAGGATGGCTAGCTCTGTAGGCAACCTTTTTTTCTCTGACTCCGTTTCTTCTTGAGGGGCCTCCTTAACAACAGTGTCCCTGCCTCCTGCCAGGCCTGCACCCCCATCTGAGGGCAGGAGGAGGGCGTCTCCTGGGAGATTGGCTGGGGGGCAGAGACCGGGCCTGGGTGCTCAGCCCACTCCACTTTTCTTTCTCCCTGCTCTGCCTGCCACAGGGAGGACACATTTTATGTCCTCCATGCAGTAGGATTACAGGCAGCCCAGGAAGGGACAGATTTGCCTGGTGAGGCTGCCTGCCTGTGGCCAACACATTAGCAAGCTCATTTGGCTCTTACACCCAAGCCATGCTCCCAATATCAATTTAATCAGTGACATAGGTGATATATTGATTTCTAATGGCATGACTCATGAGTCCAAGACCATTAGCCTTTGTGCAAATTCAAAAAAGCACACCCTACCCCTACCACTGCCGCCACCATGAATGAACTCAGCCCAATAGACATTTGGCTTTGTAAGAGGATGACACCTCTGTAGGAAGAAAGGGATGCCACTTTGGCCAAGACAGGGCTCCCAGCTTGATGAAGGGAGTGAGCACTGCTCCCTGGACTGAACTACATGATTCTGCACAGTAGTCCCCCTGGAATCAAGGGTATAATTTACTGGGCTCTTCAAAACCCTAATAATGTTGATTTTCCACTATGATGGTATTGATACTAACAAAGTATATCTAGAAGGTATCACAGGCCCAAACAACACTATCAAACCACCCAGTCAGGCCTTTGCTACTAAGCATAAATTCCTAAAATAACAAAGTATTGTTTTTGGTAAATTGCAATTACTAATATTAGCAAAATATATTTAAATAGACCAGACACAATTGCAGATTTAAAGAGAGGGCTGAAGGTGCTGGGTAGATACTGGGGCATCCCAACACCATCAGGCAAGGGTCCTGGCCCCCGAGTGACTCACCTCCGCAGGTCTCCTGTATTCGTACCAGGTCACCAATCTGCAGGGAGAGCTGGGGTGCTCCGCTCCCTTGGAAATTGTATATGGCTGTGGAATGGAAGAGAGAGGCAGCCTTGTGAGACTTCTGGACACTGAGAATCTCTGCTCCAACATGCTATCCCTGACTTGAGTTCATCTGCCACCCATGCAGTCCACATGAGCTAAACAAAACCAACCTACTGTCCACCACAAGAGTCAACTCAGGCCCAGCCTGGCTCCTAAAGGTCTTCGCTTATTAACCAAACCTGACATCTCCCTAGCACAGGTCCTGCACTCCAGTCTGAGTGACAAGGAGGGTATTTATATCATCTACGATGGGTTGACCTCTTATCATACACCAGGAATGTGTTCAGCACATCTTCTCATTCCATTCTCATGGCAACCTCATGAGGTATAAACTGTGATCTCATTTTACAGATGAGGAAATGGAGGTACTGAGAAGTTAAACAATTTGGCCAAAGTCATCAGGCTAGGAAGTGACAGGAAAATCAGAATCTAACTTCCATATTCTCAACCACTGTGATGGGCTAGTTGTTGCTTCCCAATTACTCCAAACTGGTGACAACATTACTTCAAACTGGTGAAGTGAAAGGAAAATCAGTGTCTAACTTCCATAGTCTCAACCACTGTGATGGGCTACTTGCTGCTCCCCAATTACTCCAAACTGGTGACAACAGCCTAAAATGTCAGTCTATCCACCACTCAAAGGTCACAAAATCTTCATTGTTCAAAGAAGCCCTCTCTTTCTTCTACCCAATCTTTGTTCTTCTAGCTAAAGATGCCTGTTCCTTGGCCTTCACCAAAACAAATCCTTCAGGACAGAGTCCTGCTTCCTCAATGAGGCCCTCCTTGGCTTGTCCAGGCAATACTGACTCCCCTACCCCCTTTCCTAATGGTTGGTAGGATTCATATGAGTACTTAATATTCAAGGGTATGCTCTGCCCTCCTATGTACACTGTCAGTTCCTGGGGAGCAGTAGCTATGAACAGAGTGTCCTCTGTTCTGTCTGAAACTTGGCTAATCTCTTGGAACATGAAATGACAACATATCACTGTAGTGCTCAGGAACTACTGAGCATCCCTTGCTAAGTGAGGACCATGCCACATTGTTAACCTAGATTAGGGAACCAACCTGTTTTTCAAGGGCTAAAATAGAACCACCAGCTTGGGAGGTCTTCGAGAACAAAAGAGGATATAATGTGTGTAGCCTGATATGAGGAAAGACCCCATCATTACCATCAGGAGAATGGACAGTATGATTCTACGAGGTTGACATTCATTTATGCAGCAGATATTTAGTAAACAATCATGATGTGTCAGGCACATGCTAGGCACTGATCTTGCTCTTGTGGTGAACACACAAATAAATACAAGGTTACAAAATATGGTACATGTCAGGGAGGAAAACAAAAAGAGCCAGGTAGAGGGTAACTGAAGGAGCTGACTTTCACTGGGGTAGTTAGGAAAGGCTTCCCTGATCTGACGTATGGAAGATTTGAACAAGTCAGCTATGGGGACAGCAAGAGGAAAGGCATTTCGGGAAGAGGGAACAGCATGTGCAAAGGCCCTGAGGAAGGAAGTAGTCAGAGAACATAAAGGAAATTGCTGTGGATGGAGTATAAGAGGGAGGGTGTGATGCATATGAGGCTGGAGAAGCAGAGACCAGCTCACACAAGGCCTCATGAAGAGTTTGGGCTTTATTCCAAGCAAATGGGAAGCTGGAGGGATTTTATTTAGTTAGTTGGTAATAGCATTATTGAGATATAATTTGCCCATGTAAAGTGTATAATTTAATTATTTATTCACAGACTTGTGCAATCATCACCATAATTAATTTTAGAACATTCTCATTAAGTCGAAAAGTCCCCCTAACCCCAAGTAGCCATTAATCTACTTTCTGTCTCTATAGATTTTCCTGGACATTTTCTATAAATAGAATCATACAATATGTGGTCTTTTGTGACTGGCTTCTTTCACTTAGCACAATATTTTCATGATTCATCCATGTTGTAAAAACTGTCAATACTTCCTTTTTGTGGCTTAATAATATTTCCTTGTCTGGAGAGACAACCTTAACACCCCTCAGCCTTCCATTTACTGGTATATGTATGTTTATACATATACATACTATACATATTTATGTTCATAAATATATGTATGTTCATAAATGTATGTTCATACATACACCAGTAAATGGAAGGCTGAAGGGTGTTAAGCAGGAGAAGGATGTAAGCCCATTATGCTGACTACTGCTCTGCCAGCTGTGTGGAGAGCAGATGGAGAGAGGCACTGTACATGTAGAAAGGCCCATAAAAAGGCTATTGCTTTGTTTTTCTAATCCCAGTGGTGTCTAAACCAAGCAGAGATTCACTGCTGATGAACCATGTGACCAACAGGGCAGTTGGCAGATTGAACTAAATGAGAGAAATCCTGAGTGTTCCTGATAGTCCTGAGAATTCCTGACTCAACTCAGTTCCCCTGCCTTTAGATCTCTGTTTCTTCACCTGTTAATAAAACAAAGTAATTCAAAAACTACTTCTTAGGGTGACATCAGCAAAAATGGAGTAAGGAACTCCAAGTGCCTCTCCCTCCAAGGAAGCAATGAAAAATCTAGAAAAAACTACCAGAATCAATTTTATCAGAACTCTAAAAAATAGACAAAAGTATACAGTAACCAAGCAAATGTTTAATCAAGAAAAGGAGAACTGAAATCTGTTAAAGTTTCATGGTATTTTAACTTATCCTTGTCCATCCTATACGTCCCATCTTGGTGGCAGTCTTGAAAATGGCATCCCTGGTATGTGCTTCTGAGATCAGAGTGAGCAGAGTGGATCTTGTCCCAAGAAATTGTATATGTCTGTTTTGACCTGTCCATGGGCTCCCTGAAGGACAAAAGCCATGAACTTGCCTTTATTTCCCTGATGGGGGACTCTCTCAGGGTAGAAAAGCACCTCTGCAAAGGGCATTGGTCAAAAACATTTAAAGGCAAAATAACAACCTGCTTTCACATGGGGCAAAGAACAGAAATTGGGGCAAACAATAATCTCACTGATAACCTCGGGAGAAAAGGTTTAGGAGTAAAATGCTTTGGCAAATAAGAGCTTTGATTAATACCCACATATACCAGAAAATCTAGAAGGCCATGCACAGGGCTGGATACATCGAGAGAAAGAATATAAGAAAGCTCTAAGCTCTCAACTCTGGTTGACCTTCAAGTTCCATATAGGCGGGAGATGCAAGCTAAGGCAGAGTTGTAAATGACCTGGATAAGCCTTGAAGGCATGCCCCAACACACATGTACAAAGTCCAGCTGCTAAAATCAGATTTATTTTCTTTCAACTCCATAGGCATTTAGAGAGTAGAGTGACCACATGCAATAAATAATATAGTCTTCACAAAAATACTTTAGAAAAGTCAGAAAATAAACTACCACGACTTATATCAAGCACTGACAAGTCCTAGCAAGAAGGGAGAATCTGATGCCCCAGTTAGTATATTATAATTAAAGAGATCCAGTTTTCAACACAAATTATGAGGCATATAAAGAAACAAGAAAGTACGACCCATTCACAGGAAAAAACATTAATAGAAATTATCCCTTAAGGATAGACATTAAATTTACAAGACTAAGACTTTAAATCAATTGTTTCAAATATGCTCAAATAGCTAAAGAAAATTAGGACAAAAAAATAAAGAAAATCAGAATAGTGTCTCAGACAATAGAGAATATCATTAAAGAGATAGAAATTATAAAAAGAAATCTAATAGAAATTTTAGAGCCAAAAAGTACAGTAACAATTGTGAAAAAATTCATTACAGAGGTTCAATAACAACTTTGAGCAGGCAGAAGAAAGAATCGATGACCTTGAAAATAGATGAGTTGAGATTAGACAGACTGAGGAGCAGAAAAATAAAAATTAAAAAATTAACAGAGCCTAAGCAAACTATGGGACACTATCAAGAACATCAATATTCATATAATGGAATTTTTATAACAAAGAGGAAAGAGCAATAAAGGGACCAAGAGAATATTTGAAAAAATAATGGCCAGAAACTTCTATTTGATGGAAGACATGAATCTATGCACACCAAGAAGCTCAATGAAATCCAAGTGGGATAAATTCAAAGAGATCCACCGCAAGACATAACAGCCAAATTGTCAAAAATAAAAGACAAAGTCAGTCTTAAAAACAGCAAGGAAGAAGCAACTCATCTTATACAAAGAATCCTCAAAAATATTAACAAATGATTTCACTTCAGAAACCAGAGGCTAGAAGGCAGTGGAATAGCGTATTTTAAATGCCGAAAAGAAAAAAAAAAAAAAACCTGTCAACTAAGAATTCTACATCTCACAAAATTATCCTTCAAAAATGAAGGAGAAGTTAAGAAATAAACAAAAACAGGGAGTCCATCACTAATAGACAATTGGAAAAATAAATGAATAAAACATTAATTATAAATCTATGATAATGGGCACACGATGTATAAAGATGTAATGTGTGGCAATAACAACATAGAAGGGGAGAGCTAAATTTCTATAGAAGCAGAGATTTTGTATATTATTAAAGATAAGTTGGTTTTAACTCAAACTATATTGTTATAAGTGTAAGATGTAAATTGTAAACCACAGGTTAACCACTAAGAAAATAAAAAATACAGAGAAAAGTAAATGAGAAGGGCATCAAAGCAGAAAAAAAAAATCAGACATAAAAGAAGGAGCAAGAAAGAATTGAGAAACAAAAAAAATATATATGAGATATATGGAAATCAAACAGCAACATGGAAGAAGTCTTTGATTACTAGTATCTATTTTAAACATAAATGGATTAAATCCTCCTGTCATAAGAGATTGACAGAAAGAATTAAAAAACAAAAACAAAAAACAAAACGTAAATCAACTATATGTTGTGACTTTAGGTCCAAAGACAAAAATAGGTTCAAAGTGAAAAATGGGAAAAAAAATGTTCCACATACATAGCAATGAAAAGAGAGCCATGGTGAGTGTACTAACATCAGACAAAATAGACTTTAAGTAAAAAATTATTACAA